TCCGTTTTAAGTATTTTATTTAAATATTATTTTAATTTCTTTACTTTTAAAATGTCTATTTTGTTTACATCATTATGGTTTCAAATTTTATTTTTTTAGTTTATATCCTTCCAATATGTATGTTTTGGTCCCAGGACTCTAAAAAAGTGAACATTTTAGTCATTGTTTATAAAATTTTAACACAAAATTTATATATACATTTCAATTGAAAACGATAAGATAAACAAATATATCGAAATAGATTCAAGATACACTAATTGAAAATGGCGTTTTGAAAGTATATAGACTAGAATAAACAGAATTTAAAAATACAACGACCACAATAAACGAAAGTAAAAAATACATGAATCAAAATTGTATTTAAAGCTAAATATTTTTAGTCTTTGGACTTTAGAAAAAATAAGCATTTTGAACTCGAAACTCTTGAAATTTGTATTTTAGTCTTTAAACTTTTGTTAAAAGGATAATCATTTTAGTTTTTGTTTTTATTTTGCTGCATAATATTTGTTTACTCAATGATAATCTTCACCAACTTATATGATTCTAGTTAGTATATGTCTATGTTGGGCACATTGATAATACATATTCTCACAGTCACATTTTTTGCAATTTTCAATGGGTAACAAAAATGGTCAATCTGAATATTACTTGGTGATAAGAAATCTATTATCACTCACCTATAATATAGCATTTTCAAAAGTTGAAGGAATATGTAAATTTGGTTGCAGACAAACATAATAATACACAATAGGATCAAGTTTGTGGCAAACTAAGCTCAAAGTAGGGTTTTTTAAGATTCCTTCCTTATGAATTCTTTCTCTCTATTTAGGAGAAATCCTGAGATATCAATCTCTCGAATCTCTTATTTGAATTCCTTAGATAAGACAAGATATCCTCTTTGGAATATCTTCATTTTTTTCTTCTAATAGTTGGGTTTTCCTAACATTTTTCTTTGGAGTTGCTAGACTTTTGGTATTCTATTGACCAGAACGAAGATCGAGAATCAAACTGGGCCAACCAACCAAACTACTAGGTTGGGTAAGCCTCAGCCTAACACCAAGACGTCGAGCTCGGGCGTTAAGGCACTCAGGACACAACCATAATGATTTGATGCTCCGACGTCGCTCATAGGCTAGCTTAAGCTGGTTAGCCGAGCACCGATCATGACCCTCTTCTTCAGGTTAGTTGCTGATTATCTTTGGGTCTTTGGTCATAGTCCATTTGTCTCCATTCACTTCCAAGTATTAATACACAATTTGTTTGTCTTAAGAGGCCCATCTTCATGAATAGAAAATACTTGGCTCCTCGCTCGTAAGGAGGAATCTTGTCCACACTACCATTTAGTGGACAAGATTCCTCCTTATGAACATTCAAGAATTCAAGAAGCTTGTTGATCTATTTGCCCGAACGAGCTTATTGGTCATTTTGAAAATTCACTGATGACCCAAAATCTAACAATCTGGAAAGTTGAGATTTAAACAAAAATTATTGAGCTTGAATTCATTTTGAAATCTAACATCTAACTTAGTAGCCTCAAGCTGTTAACTTAGTACCCTTTTTTTTATTTCATCTATCTACTTTTTTTTTCTTTCATCTATCTATTCATTGATTTAACTAATAAAATACATATTTATGTTACGTTTTTATCAAATAGTTAAAAAAACAAAAAATTAACGACAATGATTAAAATAAATTTTTACATAAAATTAGAAATATTTGCTTCAATTTTTTCTCCCATAAAACTCGAATTAAAATAAAATCTTTGAAAGCTTCTAGTCGAAAATACAATAAAGAGTTATAGAACTAAGAGAATTTGAAAAAAAAAAAAAAGAGAGAGAGAGAGAGAGAGAAATAAAAAGAAAAGTTGGAAAATAGAATATAATCAATCAATTTCAAGGGGTGGAAACAATAATTGATGTTCTGATGTCTTGAAAAATGATTTTGTGTAAGAGAAAGTCTTATCATCCTATAATGGTTCATTTAATATGGACTTTCAATTCAAATAGCGAATGTAACTTTAAGAATTCCATAAATATAAAAATATTTAGATAGCTTCAATTTGTGTCAAAATTCAAAGTTCACTACAAGAAAATAAAAGTGTGATCAAAATAGACCCAAGGGATGAAATGAGATTTTGAAATTCGACGAGTTTTGTTTAAGGTGTCGAACCTCGTTGCCTCTTGATCAAGCATATACTTTTTCATACAGATTTCTTAAACTCAAACTTGCACCCAAATGAGTCCATATACTTAACCACTTCCAGGCTTCAGGACACTGAACCTGCAAAGCGCATTCAGACCAGAACAAAGCGGTTTTTAATTTGAACCAATTCATCATTAGATGATTTTGATTGCATTTACCTTTTAAGCAAAAGGTAATTCTAAAAATTTGATACGAAAAGTCAACAGCTTGACTGGTTAAAGTTCTTATCTCCAATCAAAAAGTCATGAAGAAAGAAGAATGAGATGCGACAGCGGAGTAGGTGGCTAGAAGTGGTGGTTGACGATGACGAAGGCGGGGAATATGATTGGTGGGAAGTGGAAGATGCTGTGGGGAAGTCTCTAATATTCCTTACAACGTCTATGGATGGGCCATCCTTGTTTCCTTTCACTTCATTGCCCCACACAAATTCATCAAGAAAAAAAATGTGCATATAAGAAATCATTGATCACTGTTGACACAAGAAACTGAGTGAAATATTAGTGCAAAGTTTGATCCAAGTCGGGCCTTCCGATTTTGATGTTTAATATTTGACTACATTGATAGTTAGATTTCGAGTTAATTCAAACGTTTGCTGACGTAAATTTAAAGTAACAAATTAACAACACCAACCTATTAGATACAATTTTAAAAGTTTAGAGATCCATAGCAATCTTTTCAAGGCAAGGAGAATAAACAAACACAATCTTAAAAGATTGGAGACCTATTATAAACTTTTTATGTCATATAGATTAAATAGACTCGATGTACAGAGTCTTGAAAGTTTAAAGACTAAATATATAGCTTAACTAATATAATATGAACTAAAATTATAATTCAAACTCTTAAATTATTTCGATAGATAATACAAATGTTAGAGACTAAATTGATATTTTAATAAAAATAAAACGAATGAAAGGTATGAAGTCAAAAGTTCGAATCCCCCACCCCTAGCCAAGCGTTAAAAGAAAAAAACATGGCCAATTATCAACAGGCCACTTCCTTAACCTCAACATAACCACAAAATTCACCACACAAAATATCAAACTCAATTTTTCTATGGTTAATTGGCCATGTAAGATCTCTTTGCCCCTTTAGAGCATGAAAAAAAAAAGGCACAAAGTTTAAAGGGCTTTTCCTATGAAAGAGAGAAAGAAGAGGAGGCGGCATGCTTAAGAGGCATTCTGATAACGCCTCTGCTATATTTAGATTCTGATTTGCCTTCATCATCCATAAAGAACACATCCTCACCTCCTCTCAATCCTCCATGCACAAATACAACCACCGTGCCGATGAACAGTGAAATCATGATGTTCTTAGTTGCATTCGTAATGAAAAGCAATGCAATGGTGATTAACATCAAAACCATCATTACCAACCGATCATCGACTATGGTGCCCCGAACCACCCATGGTTCATCATGTAAGAAATATAAGAAGAGCCAAGCAAAAAATGAGATGATGAAGAGAACCAACGAGACGGGGTTCCAGAGCAATCTTAGAAAGAGGATGAACAATATGATAAGAATGTAATTCATCCAAAAAAACTCCGCATTGTTCTTAATTCTGTTGATTAGCTGCATAAAGGAGGTGGGAAAGCTCAGATATTGAAGCCGGATCATCTCCATCCATGGCCGTCGTGTGCCGAGGCCCGATGCAATGCGCTCTCTTGCCCGAGAAGTGTAGTGGAGCTTTGGTAAAGGGATTGGCTCTGTCGGGATTGTTCCATAAGTTGTCATATTCCTCTTATTTCCCCGTTACAGAGCAAGGGCCAGGGGTGGGGGAAGGGGGAAGAGAGAGAGAGGAGGGGTGGGGGAGAGAGAGAGAGAGAGATAAAGGAGGGAGGGGGATGAAGGGCATTGAGCGGTTGCCATATAAGGAGGAGAGAGGTTTGAAGTGAACCATTTTTGGCAGAGCCTAAAAGCTTTGTTCTAAAAACAGAGGATATTATGTGCACTAATGTTTAAACTGTAAAAATCATCGACCAAAACATATATGGAAGCTACAAACTGGAATTTCCCTCCTATGGAAACTGCCTTTTATATAAGCCAGACATTCATATGAAAGAACGCAGCTAAATTAATCAGAAATCTAAAGAAAAGGATTGAGAAAATCTCGACATGATCTGTACAATATGAATAAAATTCGTGTTCTTCTCTAACCGAATTCAGCAATGGATTTGTTCGGTGAAACGCCAGGAATAACACCAAATCCAAATCCAGAAACCAAGAATCTAAAATGGATTTGTTTAGGGTATGGCGCCTTCTATATTTCTTCTTCAAAATAAAAATCTAAGCGTCTAGAGTGCAAGAGTAGATAGGATACCTATTTCTTTAGACAAGCATAACAATCTCTAAAACAAAACCCTCATATATTTTGCTACTGTTACAAACCAAAGGGGATGAAGTAGATGCTTTTCTTGTTGAGATAAGAGTGATGAACTAGATGTTAAGATTCAACAATGAGAACCACAAGATGTAATATTATTGATCGTCATACCAGATTCTCAAACAGCAAATACTCGGTCGCTAACTTTCAACAAAATGTATCCAATATTGGCATGGAGGAGGAGAATGGGAAGTGCGAGAACCTTTACTTTGTGTGTGCGGGTACTTCTCCCCTCATTACCCTCCAGGGTCCATAATAAAACTTTGGTTTCATTAAAGGTACAGCTTCTCCAGGGTGATCTTCCCAATACTTCTCCTGCACATTTTCGAAGGAACGAAGAGGTAGATACAGCTTAGATATAGCACGGATTGTGGTCTTAGCTTCCTAGTTCCAACAGTACAAGTAATAAAACTGTGGCTTAGATCATATTTTCCTCTCTAAACCTGATCACATATTTTATTCTTTAATTGAGTCTTGAACTTCCACAACAATCCAATTTGATCCTGCGATCTTCTAGGAGCCAGATGGGATTTCTATTAAAGGGCTCGATGAAATTCATCAATAAGAATTGAAACTGATCTTCAAACAAAAAATTGAAACCATGAAGACGAAAACAAAGTAGTGTCTGTGAAAGTTCAATGTTAAAAACAGGATTTAGACCTAAGACGTCCTTCAGGCTACAACTATTCTGGGCAACTTAAAAGCACGCAGAATAGCTTCCAGAATCCCAAATGCAGAATCCCAAATGTAAACGGACTTCAATTCTTTCCTATAAAAGAAATAGAATTCTCCTGGGAATGAAATGAAGAACCGTTTCTCCATTTCCCTTTTCAATCTAAGTGCGTTTCAATTCAATCATACGAACGACAACCAATTTTATAAACAAGCTCAAGTCGAATGCAAAAATTCACGATAAGAATAAGTTGGACGGAACAGTGGTACAATTACCTTGTAGAGTTGCTCAGTGATGGCGGCGCCGACGACCCCGGAGTAAAAAGCTGCAATATAGATGGAAACCAACGGCGTAAACGATTTGGGTCGCCTATACGGATCGACCATGTCCCAGAGAATCGTTCTTTCCCACTTGGTGTAGACATAATCGGCGTACTTCCTCCATAGATAGCTCGCCATTTCGCGCAAACCGACGACCGATTCGTCCAATGCAACAGATAACGAAGTTGCAGAATCGTTGTGCAGAGGTGAGTGAAATTTGTAATTCGATGGGGGATGAATTTGAATTGAATTGAATTGAATTACCTATGAAGTTGTGTAAGAAAATGGAGAAGCCCAACAAAAAAGAAAAAAAAGGATGAGAAATGGGTCAGCTTCAACTTCAAGATTGGGCTTTCAACTTTTTCCAATTTCTCCCCACCCTCTTCCTTCCTAGTTCCTCCATTTTCCGACGGAAAAATTTCACAAGTAACCTCTCTTTTTCACTTTTCTATGTAAATATTTTCATTTTTTTAGTTTTACTAAATTACAAAAAAATACTTATTTTGCCATTTGTTTCAAAAATACCCGTATCATTTCAAAAATTTTGAATCTAAGACCATGTGACAATCAGTGTTGAAGTTTGTTTGGATTATATTTGAAAAAAGAATAAATATGAAATGAGCTATTGTGTTTAAAAGAATGATTAAGGTAAAATTAATTTTGACTTAGATATTTTTCAAGTGTTTTTTAAGAGTAGATGGTAGTATTAGAAGATATTTTTGAAACAAATGCCAACATTCAAAGGAATTTTCTTTTTGTAATTTAGCCTTTTAATTTTCAACTAATATGAAAGAAAGGGTTATTGATTCTACTTCAAATTTGAAACTTTCAATATTTCAAGAGAACAATTTTTTAAATTAAAATTTCAATCTTCAAAAGATATATATATTTATCTTTTTTTTTTATTACTCAAAAGTCATATTGAAAGGATAACTAAATTTAAAACAATTAAACATTACATTAAATATTTTCAGCACATAAAAACAACGTAATTTAATTTCTCTGTTTCCTTTAATAATATCTAAATACGTCTTTATTATACAGTTTTTCTAATACACCGTTATTTAAACGTCAAAAAGTGAACAAAAATAAATGAAAACAAGTATACAACAATAAATAAATAAATAAAAGAAATCCAATAGATTTTTAATGTTAAAACAATTGAAAATAATTTTCCAAAAGTTTAGTTTGCCAATCAATGTTCATCTTAAAACTAGTTTTTAAACTTTTATGACTATATAACTAATAATAATCCTGTTTACAAAATTCTTCTATTGGCCGAGAGGCAGAGAAACTCTATATAAATACAATTCATCCAAAAAAAAACAAAAAAAAAACCTTCAGTTTCATGGCAAATAGCCAATATAATGATAAAAAAAATTGCTTGAAGAAAATCACAATTATTATATATATAGAATCTTTAAAAAAGTTCTAAGTTCAATAAATGTGAGTTAGAGTGTTAGGGATCACCACCAACCTTAGCAAAGATAATTAACATCTCAATCTTATCTACTACCCTATGCTAATATTGACACTTATTTGAAGTCAAAATTTCATTAAACCTTAATTATATAATACACATGATGATAATTACCTTTCTTTAAAAAAAAAAAGAAAAAATCAGCTTGACATTCCTTTCTATAATGGGAGGGTCAAAATTTAGGGAAACATAACAGTCAACAACCTCACAGCTCCATAGTAAAGATCCAAGAAACATATCACAACTTTCAAGCAGCAACATCAGAAGGAAGGGTACTTTGAATGTTTGAAGGCATAAGAATATTAAAACCATCTGCAGCAGTAGAAACAAGCATCCCTGGAATCTGAGCATGCCAATGTAATTCTTTCAAGTCCTTCTGCCCCTGGTGAGTGAGCAGAAACATGTCAGATCATTTCATGTCAGTTTGAACGCAGACTGACCGACGGGGGATATTGACACGATGGTGTCAAATGGTGTAAAATGGTGGAAGATGCAAAAGGATACCTACCTGATGAACAAATAGAAGTTGTGGAGGTAAATCTTCAGGTGCATTTACTTGTTCCTTGGTTTTGGCTTTGAACTCTGCTTCTTCTTCCTCATCCTTTTCTAAAGAGAGGTCCCAAATTCTGGAAAAGAATAGAAAGGTGTCAAGAGAATAGTAATTAGTGTTTAGTTCAAAGAAATCATTTTCTTTGACTTCTCATTTTCAATCTTTCATAGTTCTCATATGCAGCTTACGTCAACTGGTTGTCAGAAGATGACACTGCCAGTGTAGAGGCTTCATGTGGGCTCCATTCGATCGACGTGATGGGATGTTTATGGTACYCAAAATGCGCTACTACAGAATCTCCTTCCTGCCAATTGATCACAAAGGGAAGAAAATGTCAACTCTTACAGCAACAAATTCTATAGGTTTGAAGGACAAGTCATAAAAAGGTAGTCTTGTTTGAGAGACTTACCTTTAGCAATCGGAGATCGCGAATAGAAAACGTCCCGTCATCAGATCCTGATGCCAACATGCAGCTTGCAAGCCTAATGACATAGTGTAACCACAGAAGCCATATTAAAAAAAGTTCAAAAAAAGAAATAAAGACAGAAAGACGGGGAAATTTTTGACAACCTGTTCCACGATATAACATTCACGTCTGCGTTGTGCGCCTTAAAAGAGGCTGCAGGAGACTTCCCTGAACGGATATCCCATATTGCGATATTCCCATCCACAGAAGAAGAGGCAAATACATGAGGCTCTGTAGGGCTCCACTGCATAAATTCAAAGTCAAAATGAGTTGTTGCCAGACTTCTTTGTTTCAAGGAAATGTGTCATTTATTAGAATTGATTCAATTGAACAGTATACCTGCAGATCTTCAACGCTTGCAGAATGTCCAACAAATGGAGCATTATCAACGTTCCATGCAGTGCCAGAAGAAGGCTCCCACAAATGAATAAAATTTTTGCAGTCCCCTTACAAAGACAATAAAATATATCAGCAATAAACATCACATCAGTTAAAARTGAGTCACCTGAACTCATCAAGTCAACTAGTTTAGATGGCCATGAAGGCAAAATACATACCAGACAGAAGTCTTCCGGGAACAAGTGGACTCCAGTCTATAGCATAACCTTCATCCTTGTGCTTGAATTTAATTAATGGAGCCTGATTAAAAACTGAAGATTCTCCCTGGCTAACTTTAGCTTCTGATCCTGCTAAAGTATTGAGATGAGAGCTGAAGTCCCAAATCTGCATACCAAAAAAATACACACACACTATAAAACTATATAAAAACCAAGGAGCTAAAACACACATTATTTCAACCCTACAGGTAATGGAAGAATAAAATTTTTGTTCAGTTAAAAAAAAAAGTTGCAATTTTTCATTAAATAACCCTGAAAATTGTACTGTCCCACAAGAAATAAAAAACAAACTGATGTAAAATATCTAAGTACATATAATTGTCCTACCATCTACTACTCTAATTTAACACTATAAGCATTGCAAGACACAAAGACAAGCTCTAGAGTTAGAGAGTACAAATCATCAAGTCAAACCTGAACATGACCAGAATCAGCCCAAGATGCACATATATGAGGGTTTTGTTGCATGGCACGTATACGATTTATGCATCCTTCATGAGCTACCTTACGCAGCTGTTGATGAAAAGGAAGAGGATGAATATAAACACATCAGAATTCATAATCAAGGTAAGACACATAAARAGAGATAAGCAGTAAAACTAATATAAATTTAATAACAGACATACCTGCAAAACTGGTGCCTTAGATTCACCACCCTCCTCATCTTCACTGTCCTCTTCACTGTCACTACTATCACTATCCATGTCAGTATCATCCGTTACTGGTTTACTAGGCAACAATTCACGTCTCTTCCCGGAAACGTTAGATACTTTAAATATTCCAATGGAGTTCCATGAGGCTTTCTCTGCCTGCAGAACAAAGACCAAAATATCTTAAAATAATGGCTTAAATTGTAACAACTAGAAAGTGGTCAATGCAATAAAGACATGAAAGCTTGAACGTGGAGCCAAAAATCCCGTTTTCTCAAATGTGGAGAAACAATTAATTTACATTCTTATTTCATTCCTCCAAAAGAAAGGTATTGAGAAAAAAATTCACTGGAAAAAATATTTATCTTATCTAAATTACTCTCTCTGAAAAGATCACCAAATATACATTCATTCCCAATGAAACAAGTACATCCTCAGAAAACTAAACTTCAAAATAAAGAGAGGAAAAAACAAACTTTTTGTCCCATTCCACAGAACGAAAAGAACCCCAACATAACAGAAGGCTTTCCACTAATGAAACTCACCTGAGTCCCTGCAACAAAATAAACAGTGTGCGGAAACTCTGTCCTCACCAAGCCTAATGCGTCACGAACAATATCAAAACTACACACAAATAACCAATTCAAACTGTGAATATAAATCCTTAAATAATGAGTACCATTATAGTCCTAGAAAACAAAAACAGCCAAAATAATAAACAGAGCACTGGGAAAAATAATACTTTCATCCATGATTCAATACAGGTAATGCTGGAACCATCCCYACAAGACCAAGATATTCGCACATTGTAGCCCGGCCAGACTCAGATTATCAATAACTCAGTCGACACAGAGGATGATAATCCCATATTTGACAGTTAGGGAAACAGAAAATGACGTACAACAATCTAAGTTGCTTGGCCCTAGTTGATTATAGAAATTCAATAAAATATGTGTTCCTCCTGAATAATCTAAGAGCTTAATTTAAATGTAGACAATCTTATCATTCACCTTCTTGAAACTAGTAAAAAAGGCGAAAAGTTCGCAGTACCTCAAACAGGGCCAACCAATGTGGAAGGCATGGAGAGAATTGTAGGCAGAGGGGTCACACTGAAGCTCTTCCCCTTCTTCCAACTTGTCCACCCCCGGTTGCCAGACCTTTGTGGGCATCGACGGTACCGATGAAGAGGACGGCCCAACCCCATTCCTCGAGCCCTGCGAGAAACGATTATAGAGGTCAGAGAACTCCCGGATGATTGAAAAATTTGAGTAAAAAGAAGGGAGGCGGTAGGGTTTTAGAAGAAAATGAACCTTGCTTCTTCTCTTGACTCTGTTTTTGATGCTCCGAACCATGTTCACGTCGTGATGCTAAAACTCAGTGGCGCAGCGTCTTCTCAGTCCTAAGGGTTTTGCTCATGAGTTTTATACAGGCACCGCCACGCCCTTTCTGAGGGGCCTGAATCGGATCCACGCGATTTGGTGTTTGTAAACCAGTTAGGGTTTAGGCCGAACTGATCGATTCGAAATCCAATAAAACCGAACCGATTCGGATTCCGGCGGTGAGGTTCAGGGGCGACGGACGGCGACGGAGAGAGATTTACGGGAGAGGCAGATCACCGGCGGCGACCGACGATGATCAAACCGAGACTCGATGGAGGCGGATGACAATTGGGCATTAGGGTTTGTGAAGGAAATTTTTAATTTTACTGCTGAGATAATAAGATTTATTTCTGTTATGTAAAATAAAAATTAATTAATTATTATCGGTTTGAATTGCCAACCGAACCGTATATAATTGGTTTGGTTCAAAACGTGATTAACTGAATAAAACCTATTTGGTTTGGTTTTGGTTTTGGTTCAGTTGAATTTATCAAAATGTAAATTTTAAATGATTTTCGTATATGTTACATATATTTGAATGGGAAAAAATCATTCTTATTCTTGGATAGGAAATAAAAATTTCATCTTTTTTTAATACAATAGGTGGGATAGAGGTTTGAACTCATCACCTTTCAATAAGAAATAAATGTCTTAATCATTCATTTTAATCAGAGATAAGTGYCTTAATTATTTGACTCAATCCGATTTGACAAATGAAAATTACATTTTGTATTAAAAGGAATGAAAATTTCATTTCAATCCATAAGAAAATTATTTATAACAGATCCAACTAGTTTATCAACAATAAACTAATTAATTAATGGATAAAACTTGRTTCCTCACCGGTAAGGAACAACTTTGTCCTCACCCACCATTGAATATTTGACAGGACAAGTTGCTCTTACCAATGAGGAGCCAAATTTTATCCTTAATTAATAGATCCTTTCTATTTTGGTATATTTTTTACTTTACACATTTTTATTCATTTACTTAAATRATTTATCCCTTACTTTTAATTTGCGTTCATTTTAGTTCTAATATATATATAAAATTATTGTGGTTTTTATTCGTAAAATTTTAATACAAATTTTGTACATGAAAACYATTAACACAAATTAATAGCTACATTTCAAAATTTTTAATGAATGAAGTGTTGTACTAAATTTTGAATGAATTAAATAAAATTAAAATTAAAATAAAGCAAATAAAATTGTCGCCTTTCAAAAAATATCAGACTAAAACATACGTTGAGAGTACACTAACTAAAAAAAATTGAAAGTAGAAACCAGATTAACATTTAAAACTTGAAAGTATAAAATGAACCAATTACCGAGACCAAAATAGTTTGTGAACCTAATTAATATCAAATACAACCATGGGATTATATCTCAAAGAAAGAAAGAAAAAAGAAGAAGGGAAAAGAGAGAGAGAGAAAAAAAACAAAAAAAAAACTGTTCGGTCACATATTAGACAACAGATATTTTCTCTATTTTGAACAAATCAATTCACATCATGTTTCACCAATTAAATCCCCATTAAAAGTTCAACATTAGTAGAAACTATCAGCACAAACTTGTAAGTAAATCTACAAGAAGAAATCTAGTTAATGAAGGTTTCAATCTAAACAGTTAATGGGTCTCCTAGAAAATCGCCCAAGGGAATATTAACAGCAGCTGAACATATTTACCTGGATGAGCTCTAATCAGTTGAAGCTTAGATCACAGTCAAAAAGATATCCATTTTTCTTCCTCATGATCCTCCTTTAACTCGACCTATCTTTTCTTTCCAAACATCCATTGGAATGGTTCTCGCTGATGATCTTCCGAGATATTCTCAGCAGCTATGGCTGTGGTATCCACCATCAACGTCGAGGGAATATTCGTCATAACTTCACCATCACTGTGTTTTTCTACTGGATCCTTCTCCATTCTGCCTAAATCTTTCTTCCTTGCATTTGCGAACATGTAGGCTGCAATGCAGGAAAATAGACATCAGTTGCAAACTTGTGTTTACTGTTAATAAAATTAARTTATGTCATGTGGCTAGAGTAAATGTTTCTCTAATTAAAACTCTAGTCTAATACTATATATAAAAGAAGATAAATGTGATCACTTCAAAGAGAAACAAAGAAGTAGAACAGTATATAGCCAGAATCCAGATTCAAGACTTGAAAATTTGCCATTTTCAGAAAAGGTAAACTGATTGGCTGATGTTGGTTTTCACCTCCTTTCATTAATCTGATTATCAACAAACTCAAACCATTAAACAATATGAGGGGGATCATCTAAAGTAAATTGGAGAGACTATATCTTCCCTCTCTCTCCTGCTTGAAGCATTTGTCCCCAGCCTAAAAAATTCAAAAGATCTTGCAAGATGTATGTGAGTTGGACAAATCACAATCTCAAAGAAATTTTATAGTTCCCTGAATCTCAAATCAGTAACAAATCCGAYGAGAGATATCCCATTCCCGTATTGCATTTTCACCATTAACAACCTTCCCAAATTGGTTGTTCCCAATTCATAGGCATATCATTTGGAGGACCCATGACTTTGAATAGAMATTCTTACTCCTCTTCGACCTGGGTCTCTTAAACTCCATCAAAGTTTTGAACTTACTACTCCTTTGTAAATAGAGAATCACTCACATCTTAGAAGGAAGTCTTGTCTTGTGCGCTGCTGAGAGTCATACTCGGACATGTGAAGTCAAATAGTAACAGTGGAACATGTAGAAGGTAGATCAGCGCACTTGGAAGAACTAAGAAAGAACTTTTACCAATCTATAAGCCTATTTCTTATGCATATGCAACAGTACTGTGGTGGCTATAGTATCAAACCATGAAACTAACCCCAATGTCCCATTCAAATGTAAAACATGTATATCTTCTCAGCTATCTTACTCTTGGAATTATAACATAAATATCAGGACATAACGACTTCAATAGAGCACCTTGTACTTGTACATTACACCAAATAGTAAACATTCTCTTCCACAAGGTGTGGACTAATACTATTATCAACAATTTTGCCGCGCGAGAGGCATTAGACGAAATAAATAAGGAAACCCCACTAACCAATCACAGTGATAGCAACATATTTCACAACTGGACAAAGAAATCCCTCCCAGTCATTACATCAAACACCTGGCCTGCCAGAACAAATACATTAAACATACAGGCCACTCCCTTCGCAAACTCCATTTCTCCGAATCCGATCAATTTCAAGAATACGAGAAAGGGAAAAATGCAGAATGAGATAGCGGGGTCGGACCTGCAAGGGCGAAATTGGAGATCAGTAGAACGCGCCAGATGACCTTGAAGCGTCTGGGTAGCAAGTCATTTGGAGGTAAAGGTGGTGGTGGAGAAGAAGAAGATGGCAATGGCGCTCGTGGGTCCGTCATTGACTGGGAAGTGGCGAGAAGTTGAGAGCTCAGCGATGGCGTTGATTGAGCCCTGACTCGGTCTCCTTATGCTCTTGTGTGCACACCAAGCAATTCCCCCCTTGCGGGAGGGAAAAAAAACTAAATTTCCATTTTCTCGTTAATCTCTTGAATGTTTTTAATTTTACACTTTAATAAAATTATTATTTTATCAACGTAGGCATACCACATAAATGTACTTGACACAAAAAATCTCAATTTATCTATTAATAAAATTTAATGTCCACAAGTGATATTCTACTGGTTTGAATATATTATTAAAACATTAATTTTGATGACAGGTTGGATATTTGTTAACAATTATTTCTAATAATCTAATTGAGGATATTTTTCTTGAAAGAACCGAAAGAGTAAATTCAATAATTTTAAAGATTAAGGACCAATTTGCTAAAAGATTATTGATCCTTTCATGTTTTTTTAGTATGTTTTTTTAGATGTTTTTTTTAGTATGTTTTTTTARTACAATATGTGGGGTAGGGATCAAACTCATTTCACGTTTTTAGTATAATAATAATAATAATACACTACATATTGTGACATATTCTCCATATTATTTTATCGATAGTGAGCTATACTTAAAAGGTAATATGAGTGTTGAAGCCTCTGCATAAGAAAATAAAATAAAAATAATATAGTTGTCAACTTTTKAACGATKGTTAGTAGAACCTGCAACACGAAAATATTATTCTTATAATTCAGTCAAATAGAGACTGGAAACGATCGGTCAAAACATATATTTAACAAAGCACCTATCACTGTAAGATTTTTCATATTTGTCGACGAAATTTCTTCATCGCCATCATCGTCGCTATAGCCTCTTTTTAGCGACGAAAATTAGATTTCGTCGCCATAGACCTTTGCCAACGAGAATTATATTTCATTGTCATAGACCTTTGGCAACGAAATTCAAATTTCGTCGCCAAAAGTTCAATTTTGTTTAAAATCTTCACATGTATCTCTATATATATATWTTTTTTTACAATCTTGTTACCTAAATATTTTTTCAAATTTAAATCAAACGTCATAAACATGTATTCAAAATTATCATATAAACTTAGATTTATATTAAACAAAAATAGTGATTTTACAATTGGTCTAGTACGGAAAATCAAACACAATATAAGCTAAATTGTAGAACATTTTAGCTAAACAAATTTAACTTTAAACAAGTAAATGAGCGGTAAATAAAAAATAAACTTAAAGCGTAGTCCCTAAGTGGTGCCAAAGAATCCAAAATGATCTCAAAACATACAATTTACTCCAATAATTGAACTTAAATAACCTAAATTGGTATTTTAGCTAGTGGCAGTGTGATACAATGTCACAAACTCWCCCGCTTTTAATGTAGCCCTAGTTAAAATAGTTCACGATGTACTTAAAATATACCAGGAATGAATGATCCATATCCAACATAATATTGATTTTTTTTTTTGTTGCTAAAGTGTACCTAAGTTCATAGCTTAGTCTATATTCCATATCCAACATAATTCAATGTCTATAAGTATCAAGCACAAAATACAATCTCAAACATGAAAAATACAATAAGTTTCAATATGGTTTTATAACATTAAATAAATCATACATACCTAGTTAATTCAAAGAGATCTCTTGTGTGTTTGCTACTGTACGATCAAAACAAGTCTAATTAAAAARAATATGGACAAACTATTAGCAATTATAGACAGAAAAGTATAAGACAAAAATTTAATGCAATTGCATAGTTTAAGTTCATAATCATTATACTAGAGCAAATTAAAATTTAAATAAGCTTGTTCTAATACTCCTAAATATAATCTCAAGCAAGCCTAAAATATATGTCGAACTAGCTAACACTTGGCTAAATGGAACTAAACATATATGTCTCACTCATAAACCCTTTTAACTAGCACTATGTGCGTCAAACTAGCTAAAACTTGACTAAAATAACTAAATGTATTTAATTGACTCGCTCCTAAATAATTTATCAAAACAAAAAACTAGGGTACAAACCTACCTAAGTCACTAGCTAAAACTCACTACTTTGAAGAATTGAAAACAATTCTTAGCTAAAACTCACTACTTTGAAGAATTGAAAACAATTCTAAAAGAAGACAACCCTATTTAAGTAGCTCGTAAAGAATTTATCAAAACAAAAAACTAGAGCACAAACAACACAAAAAGATCAAATTTCTCAACTCTTTACAATAGCCAAATTCATACTTCAAAAATTTACAATTAAAAAAACAGTATTAATTTGATTTCAAGTCCATAACAACATAGATCCAAAGAAAAATAATTTACCTACAAAGAAAAGTAGAGAGATCAGATGTTGCAGTGATAACGACGACGAATAAGTATGGACAGTCTGTGATTTCAAGATGACTATATTACTTTTAAAAAATAACAACAAAACAATTAAGAATTTTACGAAGAAGATCGACGGTGGACGGACGATCACGACGAAGCAACAAAGGTAGGGGGAGAAGTGGATGGAGGGAGAGAGGAGAAGAGTAGAGGGAGGGAGAAAGAGTGGATGGAGGGGGAGAGGGAATGGTGGCAGCAAAGGGAGGGGGAGGGGGACGGAGGAAGGGAGGAGAAACAGTGATTGAAAGAAGGGAGAGGGAGAAAGAAAAAAGAGGTAGAAATGAAAGGGGAACGGACAGGGTTAGGTTTAATTTTGACCTATGACGACGAAATAAATCTCGTTGACAAAACCCTAATTTCATCGCCCTAATTTTTTAAATGAAATTTTCGTCGCCAAAAGTACCATATCGCAACGAAATATAGCTTTCATGGCCATAAACTTTGTCKCATTAATTTTCACTAAAACTTTTGGCAATGAAATTCCCGCTCATTTCTCAAAATCTTTAGTGACGAAATGTAATTTTCGTCGTCAAAAGTACCATATGATGATGAAATCTTGATTTTGTCACTAGAAGTTTTGAATAAAAAATCACAAAACATTCAAAACTTTTGACGACGAAATTCAATTCGTCATTATWGGGTACTTTTAGTGACGAAATGTAAGCCAAAAGTACCCTATGACAACGAAATTTTAATTCGTCACCATAAGTTTCATCTAAAAAATTTCAGATTAGATGAAACTTTTKTGGATGAATAGAAATTTCGTCGTCATAGAAGACATTACATTTCGTCGCTAAAAGTACGCTAAAGCGATGAAATTTCAATGCGTCGCTAAAAGTTCCGTTGCTAGAAAATAAAATTTTGGTAGTGTATATAATCTCTTTCCCAAAGATGGAAAAGTTCAAGAAAAGAAAGAAAGGGACCGAAATAGGGAGAATGACCAAATAAGCAGAATTCGARATTAATTATAATGATTTATGTTGAAATTTTAAAAATGATTCTAAATGATATTTGAAGAGAGTATTTTATTATCATTTCACACAAATAAGCATGATAAGAGATAGATTTAATATATGATGCAATGCCACGTCATAATTTAAGATTATATTTTGGACTGATYGTAAAATTACACGTGTCCTAAATTAATTTTAAATYAGCAAATCAAATTGTGTCACGTGTCTCTTTTATGGTCGTCCGATGAAATCAATTAATTGGATCAAAACCTATGATGAGACTGGCCCAAGCCCATGACCCATTAARCCTATGACCCATATAAGACCCATAAAGACTCTATAAATAGAGGGGATCGCATCTCATTTGGGGAAAACAGGCCAAGAGGAAGAAGAATTGGAGATTTAGAGCACTCAGAATCATCTACCGAGACTTCAAGRACATTGAATATTCTCTCTCAAACAACAATACTTGAAGACTCCATCAAACTACAAAGCCGAAGAACTTCAACAAGCAGCGCAAAGCCAAAGCACTTCATAATCTGCAAAGCGAATCGCATCCCCACGCAACGACATTGTTTGTGCGCCCCTTTCTATTCTCGCTCAGTGTTTGCAAGTGGCTAGCGACTGAGTTCCAAATGAAAGATTTGGGAGAAGCTCAGTATGTTCTTGGCATCCAAATTCTAAGGGATCGCAAGAACAGAACGTTAGCCCTGTCTCAAGCAACTTATATTGACAAGATGCTTGTTCGATATTCGATGCAGAATTCCAAGAAAGGTTTGTTACCCTTCAGGCATGGAATTCATCTGTCTAAGGAGCAGTGTCCTAAGACACCTCAAGAAGTTGAGGATATGAGACGTATACCCTATGCTTCAGCAGTGGGCAGCCTGATGTACGCTATGTTGTGCACTAGGCCTGACATTTGCTATGCGGTAGGGATAGTCAGTAGGTACCAATCCAACCCAGGATATGATCATTGGACTGCTGTTAAGGGAATCCTCAAGTATCTTAGGAGAACGAGGGACTACAAGCTCGTGTATGGCTAAGGATTTGATCCTTACAGGATACACTAACTCTGACTTCCAAACAGACAAGGATTCAAGGAAATCCACGTCGGGGTCAGTATTCACTCCTAACGGAGGAGCGGCGAAGCATCAAACAAGGATGCATCACAGACTCCACGATGGAGGCTGAGTATGTTGCAGCTTGTGAAGCAGCAAAAGAGGCGGTTTGGCTTAAAAAGTTGTTGACAGATTTGGACGTCGTTCCAAACATGAACTTGCTCATCACCCTTTATTGTGATAACAGTGGTGCTGTGGCAAATTCTAAAGAACCTCGAAGCCATAAGAGAGGCAAACACATCGAAAGGAAGTACCAACTTATACGGGAGATAGTGCAGCGAGGAGATGTGATTATCACGAAGATCGCTACAGAGCACAATATTGCTGATCCTTTTACAAAGGCACGCACGGCTAAAGTGTTTGAGGGTCATCTAGAAAGTCTAGGTTTACGAGCTTTGTACAGTTAGTCTAGGGCAAGTGGGAGAAATGTAATTGGGTATAGTGTATGCCCTAGTTTATTGTATTTTCCCTTTGCTTTNGGTTTACGAGCTTTGTACAGTTAGTCTAGGGCAAGTGGGAGAAATGTAATTGGGTATAGTGTATGCCCTAGTTTATTGTATTTTCCCTTTGCTTTATGATAATGTACACCCCACTCGAGTTTAGTTCAAGTGAGAGTTTGTTGGGTGTGTTGCCCTAAACTCGTAGTTTGTATTTTGTAAAAACAAATGTCTATTTAATAAAGTCTTATTCAATAAATTTGTTGTTGAATCATAGTTTTGCATTATCCAAAATCCAATAAACTAAACATCCAAGGTTATTTTTGATGTAATCGGGACAGTATATATACTGGRTATATAGTTGATATACGGGATATATATTTGATATACCCCTGATATATGAATGGATAATGTCCCGTGAATAACCTAAATGGTCTATAGTATATGGATAAGGCTGGGTACCTTATCCTGGCAACACTATGGATACAGCCCGCTCTGTAAAGGTTACAGACGACTCGATCCAGGTCGTTCGTGTGGAGACATGCGAGTGGGGGTATCCTATATAATGAGTTTGTATAAGATCGGACCGTGAAATAGGCAATCTTTAGATGTAACACCGTTAACTAATAGATTGTCATTTCTTAGGATGACCAGGCAACTCATTCTCAATCCTGAGTGAGTTATGGACTCCTGCCCGTGAGGACTCGTCCTTTGATCTGTATGGGTGAGAGTGGCTCGAGTCGCCGACTCAACATTCCTACCATTTTGGGGACGAGACCGAGTGGGGAGCTAGGAACATAACTTCACAAGATGGAATTCACTCCTCCCCGACTTTAGGGGAGTAGATGAGTGTTCCCTTAAATGCTGACTCCGGGACTTGAACAAGGGGTCACACCCTCTCATTGGCCGAGAGGGACTTCCGGTTATTGGTTAGACCATAACCGGGTTGTTCATTAGAGGAGCAGTGGTGTTTAAGGAGTAAGATGTAACTCAGRGGTAAAACGGTAATTTGACCCAACTTGAGTTACGAACACTCGTGAAGGATTGACTTGTCATTAATGGTCGTATATCCATGGACACGAAAACATTCTGCAGTGAGAAGAGTGCAACTGCGGGTCTTTAGTGGAATGACCCGTAGTTAACGAATCTAGATTAACTCGATCAATGAGTTTGACCGATTAATCTTGCATCGTTGGAGCTTCGGATCTGTAGATCCATTAGGTCCCYTTRCTGGCTCATAACGGGTAAAACGAGGATCAAGTTTTTGGAAGAATTTGAATTGTTCAAATTACTTAAGGGATTATATGTATATTAATATATTATAATATATAGTTAATTGTAAATTAAAACTATATATTATGAGAKATATTATTTGMATGAGATTCAAATAAAATTAATATGAATAAGATTCATATTAAAACTATAGGTTAAAAATAATGTGCATAAGATGTACATTAAAACTATAGGTTATACGAGAGAAATGTTTTAGAATATGATTTTAATTTTATAAATAATTAAGTGTTAATTATTTATATATATATATATATATATATTTATTAATTATTAATTGAATTAATAATTAATTATATTAATTAATTTGATTAAATAATTTTATGTATATATTAATTGTTATATATATATTATTATATATATATTTTAATTATTATTTATATATATATATATATATATATATTATTAATATTAACTCCCCTGTAATATTGCAGGGGAGTGGGGGAGTTATGTGACGTGGGATAACTCCCCACGTCATTGGTTTTTTCTGCAAAACCCAAGAAAGGTTACAGAAAACAGTGATGTTACAGAACTCCCAAGCTTCTCTCTCGTGCAATCTCTCTATCAAACTTTCCCTCTCGTTCCAAAGAATTTCTCCCACAAGAACGATCTCGTACCCAGAGGATAGCGAGGAAGATCCGGTAGTGGTGTTTGAGGGGAACTTACTGAAGAAACGTTCTTCAAAGGTTTGTATTTCCTCTGTATTTTCCCTCTGTAAAATTCGATTTTGTATCCCAAAAATCAGCAACGAAAGTCCACTTCCACTCCGGGATTCACATCCCTTCAAAGGAAACAACGRAGGGATCCGAATCAGACCTAAATGGGAATGACATGAAAAGTCTTTTTCAAAACCTAGCCCCCGATTAGTGCAATTGAAAAAGGATCTTAGAGTGTGACGGGTTGGGCCAGAAGGGTTTCTTAACACCTTCTTTTTTCTTCTCATCGGAGTTATTTCACAAAGACTTGCCATGGTAAGGAAGAAGGGGGAAACAAGCACACTTGGAGAGCTTYACAAGCTGCAAAGGCGAAGAACTTCAACAAGYTGCGTAAAGCCGAAGAACCTCAACAAGCTGCSCGAAGCCGAAGCACTTCACAAGCTGCAAAGCCGAAGAACTTCACAAGCTACAAAGTCGAAGAACTTCAACRAGCTGCAACGTTAAAGAACTTCACTAGCGCAAAGCCGAAGACTTCACAAAGTCTTCATCAAGCTACAAGCCAAAGAACTTCATCAACAAGTCAAAGTCTTCAAACAAACTCAAAGCCGAAGACTTCAAAGATCYTTCGTCAAGCGAGAAGCTGAAGGCATCAACGATCAATAACAAGCTCACGAGTCATTGAATTAAAGTTTACATTTGAGAGAGTTAATCAGAGGATTATACATTAGAGATTGTAACACCCACATACATAAATACAAATACAAGTTCATTAATTCAAGTTTCTCTTCGTTGAATTTCTCTTCAAACATGTACGCGATAAGTTTACATGTGAACTTATTTTACTAGCATAATAAACATTAATTTCTTTTTTTAGTATAACATGTGAATGATCGGATTCATAACTTCTTGATTGAAGATATATGTCAATTAACATTCTATGCTTGCTATTCTATGCTTGCTATGAGAACATGAAATTTATTTTTTGTGTTTAATCATTTTAATTTTCATATAAGTTGAAAAATGTATCTCATTTTTATATCTTRAACGCATGGGACCACTCATAGTTATTTTTAAATTTTAAAAAAGTTACACTACACGGAGTAGGAAGATACTATTTTCCAAAAATTGTTATGTCACTTCTGTCCCTTTGATTTTCTGATGAGAAATTTGATCCACGTATTTTAGGCTGAATTTCAATTTAAACATGAGGCGGAAATGACGTTGGCTCTTTTTTTTTTTTTCCTTCTCAAGGTCTGATATTCAAATATGTATACTGATAATTTTTAATTTTCATCGTTGCGTTAAATCGACGTATTTTACTTTTTTAATATAACATGTTGAGATGAGGACTCAAACTTAGGACATCTTCATCARAAGTTGTCTTATGATGAAGATGTCATGAGTTTGACCAAACTACACAAACCAAAGTAAAAATTTTAAAGCAAAACGAGAATCATACCACTAGACTAAATGTCCTACTTAATAAAAATGTATTGAYAAAATATTAGAATGTTTTTGCTTCTTTTGAAAATGTCGCAGAAATAACTTTTGATTGGTTTATGCTATTTTTGTAAAATTTTAAATCTAATGTTATAGGTGTAAATACATATTTTTTGTGCTATTTTTGTAATTCCTTGTTAACAATATATGAGATACATTAATTCAATTAAATAAGATAGGATTTGAGGGTTGTTTGTTCTCTAATCCAATCCTTAAGCATTTTAGTACTACATACCCATGATAAAGTACACATTGTTTTTTTCTTTGTCGTCCTATAATGAAAATTAACGTTATTTTATTAAACTTAACAAAAGAATCCTTATTAACATATAATCCCATAAAAAATAAGCTCCATTCGAAAGGTAAAGACAAAATTAAAATTTACAATAAAAAGTCACATAAAATATATTTAGAAAAAGAGTGACGAAATATATTACACGAGAAAATAATAAATAAATATTAAATTATCTATATTACCAATTTTTCCGATCGAAAGTTAAATCTCCCATTTTGTATTGTTCTACTAAAATTAACTCGTGATGACGGATCAACTTATCTGTATCATACATATACACTCCCAAAATGTACCTAATTATTTCAATTCATATACTAAAATTTCCCACAACAAAATCTGAGGAAAAAAAAAACAGTTGCTAGATCAACAAGTATATATACTATATATACACACTTCCATATATATTAAATATAAATATTTAGAAATTAATTAGTACAAATACAATATTTCCTCAAGGACGTCTTTATTCTAATTATTCTAAATTTTTTTATCCCCAAAATGCATTAGCATTTAGCAATAGACAAATTAACTGAATTAAAAAAAAAAGATAAAAGGCAATAAATTAAAAATATATATATATAAATTTTCATAAATTAATCCATGAAGAAGGCCAGCCATAAGATAAGGTCATGAGCAAGATGGCGGCTTCCCTCTCGTCCGGCGGGAAAACTCTTTGGTAAGAGGAATCTTCAAAATGTAGCTTTTTTCTCCCTCCGCCGCCGCGGCCGGCGGCGACGTCTTTGCATTTTCTCTTCAATGTCGCCGCCGGCTTGATTATCTTGTGTTGCACCGCGGTTTTATTGGGTTTCAGAACTACTGCGGCCGCCGGCTTTCCGCCGTATGGAATAGTGCCGTTCGCCGCCGCCGCCTCCTCCGCCGCTGCCGCCATGGCTGCTCGTCTCGCTTTCCTTTGTCGGATTCCACAGGCGTTGCAAAGTGACTGCACCATTAATGAAAATTGTTCGTATGGTTCCAAAATTAGTAAACCCTAGAGATTGTTTAATTTTAAATAAAAAAAATGGTAAAAAGTCCTAGATTAAGATATTTTTCTACCATAAAAAGCATAACATAGATGGTTCGAATTTTCACCGTATTGTTTTGAACAAACAAATACTTGATAAGACAAAAAATAAAAACTTCCGAATATCTGTAAGCATATAAATTTTCTTACTGACCACCACCGAAAAAGAAGAGATTATTCTCTCCCTTCCGTCCTCTCTGATTACATCTAATTACAGTTAGATGATAAACATGAGATTTTTACTGATGAATTAGATTTAAATGTCATATTCTAATTTTAAAAATCATATGAAATAAATGGTGTTTGATTAAAGGTAAATCACTACTAAAATCTTAAAAGTTACTACAAATTTAATCCCTTATTCATATTCAATTAACACTCAAATTAAGAAAGATGATGTTTAATTAAGGTAAACGAAGCTAAGCCCATAAGTTAAAAAGCTAAATTTTGTATCTCACGAATTAACATGATTATTAATAGTAACTAACAATTAAATCATTCTACAAGAGTGCGAGAATAAGATTTATTACTCTGATACTAAGTTAATTAATTACCTTAGGACCTCTTGGTCCGCTCCTCCATAGAGGAGTCTTGGTGGTGTTACAGTCCGAACAAGTTCTAGTTACAGAGTTGTTGTCATCAACGTTCAACGTTCTCCGTTTATTGGTCTGATCGAACGACAACGATGGATTGAGATCTTGAAAATTCCGACCGCCGTTGATCGGGGCTGGCGTCTCTGTTGGATTAGAATTTATAACCATTCTGATATTGGAAGAAGAAGAATCCCACTTCAAGGCCAAATCGTCATCAATCGAACTCCCGCTCTTGTCAATCTGCTTCCAAATAGTAAACCTTAGTCCAGTTTCCACACCATCATCGCTGTT